GAGGTTCAGTGTCTGCCGTGCTCCTCATCTTAAAACGAGCGTTCATTGAAGTCTAGAATGCTGATTCAGAGGCCTCTTTTAAGGCCAGACGGGAAGCCGGCCTCTTTGATCTCAATTCTCTTCAGATGGGGTTTGATTTGAAGACTTATAAAAATGGCTCAGTTTGTACTGGTTTACTTTGCAGGGAGTGACTGTTAAAAAGACGTCTTGTTTCACCACAGAATTAATCAACAAGAAACTTTAGCAAACACCCTTTCTCATCTACGTGTATCTTGTTTCATTTACCCTCCTAATTTCTTTGGAGGGGGGGGGGGCATCTGTAAAAAACAGCCTGTTTATTAACAGACAATCTACAAATGCCTAGGTATTTGCTTTTGTGAATGTGCCCTTACTGGCATAAAGCACTGGCAACATTCAGAACAGTGAGGCAGTTTATGGATTAACGCCAACGTGATGTTTAACTTGACACCGTTAAACTCATTTCCTCCCTGTAGAACTAAGTTTTTATATAGAGAAAATAGCTCGTAACAACCTTTATGAATGACCCGCATTGCTACCCAGACCACTTTTCATATTTCCCTTGACATGTTCCATTTCTCCAAACACGCTAGATAAACGTCTGCTTAAGGCTGTCACTTCCTCCAAGTTGTCACTCAGCAATAAAAGGGCGCAAAATGCTGACAAAATCATTCTCGCTTCCAGCAGGAGCATGACTGACTGTAATTGAAATGAATTACCAGTCATTATCAATAACAGCACATGTAGCTAGTTATTGCACTAAAAGCCGTGTTTTGAAAAGCCTCGTAAGTAAACGGTAAGGAAAACTGACTAAAAAGTTATTTTGCTTGTACACTGCGGTTAGATTTGACGATATGATCCTCTGTTTGAATATACACTACTTCTGTTTGCATTTCTCTTTGTTAAAACAATAATGAGGACATTTACAGTGACCCGTTTTACCATGTTTTTGAAAATATGTCTGGTTGTTGACCCAGCTGGCATTGGGGAACATTTTCACACATTAGTGAACGGGAGCATTGTGTATTCCACTAGGCTTGGGGCCTACACTTGCTTTTTGTGCTAAAGCGGCCTGATCGAACAGGGTGTGCTGTTGTGGGTATGTGGTTGCCGTGGCGACTCACAGTGCGGGCTCTCCTTGGCGCCGGCGTGCAGCAGGAGCTTGGCCATTGGCACATTGTTGGTCATGATGGCAATGTCCAGCGGCAGGAGGCCCTCACTGTTGGGCGTGTTGAGATCCAGCTCCTCCAGGCTGTACTGGGCCAACAGTAGCTGCACCAGGTCAATCTCCTGGTGCTCCACGGCTTCAAACAGGGCTTCATTACTCTGGAACTGAGAAGGAGACAGAGAAGAGACACATTTCTGCCCTGTGCTCAAGGACCTAGAGATTTTGAATTATACAGTGCAGCACTTAGATGATAACTGCTCGCAATGCACTATACGATAACGAAAATTACCACATCAATGTCATCTGTCATTGAAAAATGTGTTACATTAGTTGGAGGCTTCATTACTATACAGTAACATCTGACTTCCTCTACTACCAATCGCATTCATGGAAAACAAGAGTTCATGTCAGTAATCATGTCCATCATCATCGTCTGAACTTTATTGCGCCTTTTTTTATTTGTATTCTTATTTTCTAATAATTCATTTTAGATTTTGCATTTGATGGGTTTCAGGTTGCATGATCTGCACATTCTAGTATGTGCTTGTCGACCAATTTTGAGCAAATGTGTCCAGAGGATGTAACAATGAGAAAAATGTTCATTATTTTACTTTTACTTTCATTTTTTTTTCTCTTTCATCAGGACAAGGTTCGCGGTGCGCAAGGTTCCTTCAGCTTGCAAAAGCTGAGATGGATCATACCGCTATGTTCTTATTCTTATCCTCTCAGTATACTGGTGTGGCTTGTAGAGCATGTTCTCAGACAGCACCCAAAGGCTGTTTCTTAGACCACCATCAAACAGCACCTCCTGCATCAATGATTTACACTAACACCAAAAAGATTCAGTGCTAATGGGCGTCCTAGGGAGTTATATCTCTGTAATAGGCTCACTGTATGAGCCATGTTACAGTGGCAATAGTGAGAGATGACAAATCCATTAAGAATCTGATTAAATGTCTAAGGGAAGAGATAATGCATGGAAAGTTGAGACTTAAAAGTTGACAGTGTTAAGAAGCTTATATTTGATCACTTAAATGTCAGCTGCAGACTTACTGAGACTTATATGCAAAACGGAATGGCCTCCTCTCACTTCAAGACTTCTAACTCTGATGCCAAAGTCTTACAAAGAGGCAAAAACCAAGACTAAAACTGCAACAGAACCAGGACCTACACTATCCATTTGATTGCCTATGAGATTGTTCTCTTGGAATTTTCTTGTCACTCCAGGATCTTCAGTGCTCGACCCAGAAGGGGCTGGGGTCAGTGCGGTTGGCTCGCTCACCATGCAGGTCTTCCGGACGCGGTCCCTGTCTCCGCGACCCGACATGACGTTGTCGTCCAGACCGGGGTGCCCTACCCGGAACTTTCCGGACAGGTTGCGGTAGAGGCGGCGGGCGGCACTGGGTGAGGAGGGACCAGCAGCCTTCCTGGATGGGGCCAGCGGGAGCTCCCGAATCTGCTGAGTCATCTTCGGTGAGTCACACCTAATAGAGAACAAGGAGAGGCCATAAGTTCAGTCATTCTAATCGAACCCAGCACTATTAACCACTTCCTAAACTGGTGGTGGGCCACCTTTGTCCTTCTTGCACACAAATGACACCCCTTGAATTTTTAAGATTTTTAAGATTAGCCTGACTGGTCAAAACATTAGGAATCCCCCCTGAAGGATGTGCTAGCTGTCTGGAGGCAATGGGAATGTGCTGAAGCAGGTGTTCGGCACGGTTGAGGAATATTTACAGACCTTTCTTCCTTTATCTTAAAAAAAAATTGGGGCAGAGCAGTGGCACTGTGGCTAAGTATCTGCGCTTGTGGCTAGAAGGTTTGCCGGTTCAAATCCCGTGGCCGGCAGAGGAATCCTACTCCATTGGGCCCCTGAGCAAGGCCCTTAACCCCATCTGCTCCAGGGGTGCCATATAAATGGCTGACCCTGCGGTCTGACCCCAAGCTTCTCTTTCCCCATCTGTATGCCTGTGTGTCTCATGGAGAGCAAATTGGGGTATGCGAAAAGACAAATTCCTAATGCAAGAAATTGTATGTGGCTAATAAAGTGATCTTATCTTATTTTATCTTTGAAGTTATAGAAGCTTGCTTATGGGACTGAGCTGCGTGTTTCACTGTCGACCAGTTTTCGAGGAGACTGAGCTCACGGGGATTGTTCTGGCCACAAGACGGTAATGAAATCCCATTCCACGCTCTTAATGCTCTTAAATATTTCATTCTTTTAATTGAGGATTCCTAACATTTTGGCCTACGAGTGCATATCGAAATGTGTTTTACTGACACTTAGGTACTCAGCTTCCTGTTATAGGCATTGTGGGTGTTCAATAGCCATCACAATAGGTGAGGGCAACACATATCACTCTCAACTTAGCCTAGCTTGTTTCTTGAGCAGAAGGGAGCATTTACATAGGGGCTAGCTGGACGGCTCTTCATGTTGTTACGTTGATCACTTCTTCATTGCGGAGGATGGCCAGAGCACTGCTATTAGCGTTTATATCCCCGTTTCTCAAAAACTTATGAATCGACATTGGCTGTGCTTTTATGGAACTATGACTTCACAATTAGGATTCTAGAAAACACTTCCCATCTATTTACTTGGTAAAAAAATACCAAACCAAAATGTAGGAGTCTAGTAGAGCACACTGGGGAATTTTTTGCTTTGTGCCAAAAGATCAATGTCTGAATTTCTCCCTGCTGGCACTCGAATCCTCTTAACACTGCGAGAAAAAAAACAAACTGTGGAGATATTATGAAATCGCAAAAATATGGTCTAGACAGAGGTTTCTTCATAAAACTTTTCCATACAAGTTATTATACAAGTTTAACACGCGTAGCAACTACCCTATCTCCCATCGCATTTAGACCCAGACTCCTTCAGTACAAGACATTTATACCTGTTAAAAACAGAAGCTTTGTTTAAGCATTTCGGATTCAAAAAAATATTCCATACAGTAGAAAGGCGTATGTTGCAGCACGATGAAGACGAGACGCTTCACAAGACATCTGGAAAAAGGCGAGGTATAATTTGCTATTTGTTTCGCGACTTGGCTGCCATTAGGAACCCAAGCAAGGTTGCAAACAAAAGAGGGCCCAGTCAAATCGCTCTGGCTGAAACCTCCAAGACAAAAATGGAACACCATAAGCACAAGGGATCTGGTGGTTTACGGCAGCAGAGTTTGTCTGGGTAGGTCCGTGGTAAAACACAAGTTTCATTTGATTTCCCTTCAAGTTGGAGTCATTTTAAAATGCCATTAAAAGGCCAAAGCCTCTTCCGGACCTTCACTTATTATAGTTTGGAATACATGGAGTTATCCATATCAAATGCTTAACACCCATTGGATTTGTAGTCGAACCTGAGGTTATCCTGTCGCTTACCTAAATGGCTTTCTCCTGCTACCGCCTGCCTTCTATAGCTTCCTTCTCTGTGACCCCAGAGAGTTACTCAATTGCTGTCTTAGCATCTCAAGAATGCTAATAAGCCTCTGTCCCTGCTACAGGAAAAATGCTGTTGACTCTGTATTCTTGGAAACCCTGTGTTGGACATGGAGCCAGCGTCTACCACCCACGTCAGCAAAGTTGCTGATGTAAATGTCATTGTGACATGTGTCAGCAGGGACAATGAAACCCAGCTCCACCACCCGCAACAAGGAATTCTTCACTTTTCGTGGTTTACATGCCTCAACACAGGGGACAGGACTTTTCAGCTTAAACCTATTAGCGACATTCTTCTCTGCAGGCAAAATGGAAATTTCCTCTACAGCCCCACAGAATTCCGCAGTCAAGTAAAAGCATGCGTTTCACAAGGGACGTGGAAACTATGTAGAAGTACATTTGAAAACCAAGAACAGGAGGCAAGTCTTTACTTTAAGAGTTGTAGGAGTGTAGAACAAGCTACCATGTCACTGAATCTGAAAGAATGAACCCTGGCTATTCCAAGAAACAGCTGGATGAGATCTTTGTATCAATTAGCTACTAACTACCAAAAGGCCAAATAGCCTACGCTCATTTGTAACTTTTCCTACGCTATGTTGCAAATCCATTTTCACTTTTCCAACACAGGTGCCATGAAAACAACAGTCAATCTGTGATAGCATTGCCAATCCCAATTAACTGTGAAAGAGTTATTGAGGAAGGTGCAGGAAACTCAGCGATATCCTTTAAAGATTTTGTTTTTGCCTTTGGATTTACCACTTGAGAAAAATAGCTCCTTTTGGTTTGTATCTTAAATGATATGAGAATTAACGATAGTTTTCCTATTTATGCTCTGGCCAGCATGGAATCAAACATTCTTTAATGATTTGTGCAACCTTCGTAACAGCACAGGAAAGATAAAGAAACCACCATTTCTAATGTACAATCGTAATGCTGCCTCTTCTTATCCACACTTTGAGCCCCAAAAGTGCGCACAAAAGTTCTATCAGAGGAAGGACAGATGCATCTCTTTCCAACAATAACCACTAAATTACTCCTGCTTGGCCTGCTGAAGACAGTCCAGACACTTCAAATTGGTCAGCCACAGTGACAATGGACCAACTGTACACCTCCATTAAGCATTTACTGGACACACTCAGCTAAAGACATATCCTGTCCCATCCAGCGATGAACCCAGAAGAATCTTTGCACAAATTATATAGTTATTACGATTTTGAAAGAGTTACAACATCGGGAAAGCAAAGCGCCGTCATTGGGGTTGTGACATAACAAAACGCAGAACCTCTCATTTTCAAGTGCTGGGTGAGCTGAGAGGGAAAAGGATGGCAGCCCAGAGCTGGGCACCTTCATTTCCAGCTGTCATTGTGTCATTGTTTTCATGGTTTTGTTTTGTGCTCAGTTTGTATTCCTCTTCAGCTAAAAGGATAAAACTGTCAAAAAGTTTACAAGCTTACGGTTTCTCCAGTGAGGGGTGGGGTGAGGTAAGCTTTGGGAATAAAAGGTATCGGTCCTGGGACAGTGAGCGGATGGGAGAGCGATTCATCCTCTCACAGGCTCTTATTTTCTGGGCTGGGGATGAGGGGAGTTGGTACCCCCCCTTACCCGGAAGGATTTTGTTTGACTTTCCGGGGAAAAGAAGGGTGTTTTCCTAAAACCCAGAAGCCTTAGTCCCCACAAACCTTAAGGCCGCAAAACAGCCCTGGTGTGAGTTATAACACAGCAAAGGGCTTCCGAAATCCAGAATCTCTGTGCTCCATAGAGTACGTGTGTGGGGGGGTCACATGTTCATTCAACAGTTTAAGGCCTCCCTTTGGAAAGCAGGTTGGACCCCATTGTCCAAATATGTGCAAACATATTTTGCACAAAGCACAAAGGAGGCCACACAACGCGCCCGTGCTCACCTGTTGTTTGCGCTGCGGGGCACCAAGTGCAAAATGCATTAGCTACCTTTCCATGGGGGGGGCTGTCCTCAGGTCACCTCCTGCTGGACGTGAGGGGCGCTCGTGAGCAAAGTTGATAAAAGTCGGGGGAGTCGGGGAGTTCTAAAAAAGAAAAGTCTCATCGCCCGTTCCAACTTTTTTTTTCAAAAAAAGGGAAAAGGGATTTCTGTGGAAACCACACAAAGCTGGCAAAGACACCCCGACAGAAAATGTTGAGGTCACACCGGATAGGACTACTTTTCCCTTCACAAACTCTCGAATCCCCCCCGATGAGGCCAGCGAGCCGTGTGTGAAGACTGCTGGAGCCAGTGGGGAATAAAGATCCCTGGAGCGAACAGTGTGTGCTGGATCTGCAGCAGGCAAGAGGGGGTATTGCATAACTACAGCAAAGCCACCCTGGTTTAAGAGACTTTGACATGCAATCAAATTTTCCACTCATACCCCCTTTGGCACAACTGGCAAGTGAGCTCTGTGCACAAGCAAAATGCATGAAAACCAGGCAACAGGAGGCCAGTCATCAGTTAATACTGGCGTGTTTCAGGAGGCAGAATCCAGTGGGAAGACTGCAGACAGAGAGCCTGGCCCAGACGGCAGCACAGGCCTTACTCAGTGCAGTGGGTGGCATTACTCACAGGCAGGACACCTCACAACTCAAGGCTGTAGATTGTAAAAGGCCGGGTTTGGGCTGGGGCGGGGGGGGGGGAGGGTGACTGCTAGGGCAACAGAGGCAATAAAATAAGCTTCAGTTCTGCAAACAAAAAAGCATCAGACTGGCATCTTCCAACGA